CAATTTCAAAAACATTTTGATTATTTGAAATAAAGAAATATTAGAAAAATAGCACTTTGGAGCTTTTCATGATTAGAAAAATTGGTACCTGCCCCACCCACCCCTTCCTCCATTTTAAGACATAAAATTAACATATAATCTTGAAACTTCAGGATATAACGAATAAAACTTCAATTTTTATAACACCAAATTTCATCTGAATTGAAGAATATTAAAGAAAGTTTGAGCATGTGCATTACTTACGGGACAACACTCGTATATAAAGCCTTATATGTCAAATTGAATTACAAACCAAATGATCCATCTTTACCCGGCCGCGGTGTCAATTCTTTGAAAATATTTCAGTTTATCTTCGGGTTAAAAATCATTTTGGGGCCCGAAATCTTTTTTTTCATTTTAGGCCACAAGATGGGCCTTTGCCATTATTCTCATGAGCATACCCCTCTGTGGTAATAGTCACTATAAAAGAGATAAACCAAGTCGGTATTGATCATAATCGTATTTAATACAGTGTGGAAATTTGGGAAAATAAATCTGAGATGGAATCATAATGCATCCCCTCGATCACAATAATGAGGAGGAGGCAACACAATGTTTATTCAATCTGAAAGCTGTTTCTCATAAGGAGACATCATGTATTGACAGGTTGTTTAGTTTGGATGTAAATCATGGGTTGTTTTCACTTTTGATGAGATGGATGTTGCTTGAATCCAGTGTCAAACTGTAGCAACGTGTATAGTTATTAGTGACATCTTGTATTTGACCAATCATGGATGAAATGGATTAGAATCCCACATTGACTAATGGTGGTGTTGACCGTTTTTTTTATCCACGGTTGAACAGATAAAAACCTTTCGTATTAAAATAATCAAGCCCATAAAAGGGACAAAATTCGTGGAGGGGGTTGCACTATATATTCCCGCTCCTTATGTACCCAGACCTCAGTAGGTATAAAATACAATTATAAACAATCCAGTCATTCTTGTTCGCTGCTTACAAACATTGCTTGCTCTAGATCGTATTTTACTTGGCAAATAAAAAATAACTAATTGAGAGTATATCAAGGCGAAATCACTGTTATTGCATTTGCTTCGGTTCAAATACGACAACCTGATCATGGCTGATCAGACATCTGATTGACTGTGTCATGGCAACCAGACAATAGTTAATTCTATACTATCAGATTTCCCCAGCTCTACTGAGCGTGATACTTTGGTTGGTGGAACTTTATGAGGTGAAAACAAAGAAGATGTGAAATATTTACAAAGAGGAATATCTAATCTCTAATCTCTAATCTCTCTCTCTCTCTCTTTTCATTCATACCCGAAAATGCATGAAGATTTCACTTTAATTAAGAAATTTAATTTGAAATTAGAAGGTTGTATTCTGGGGTCACCCTGTAGCAAGGCAAGTCTACATCAAAGCGATGATCCATTGCAATGGAATTTATAACAAACTGTAATATCAGCTCTATGACATCATTTTAACACTAGAAATAGAATGCAACTAGCAAAATATGTTTCTGTCATCTCGCACGATTCTGTGATACCCTTCACAGGAAAAAGAATTGCATAAGTTACAATCAACGCTGTTTAATTGGCACATCCTTATGTATCATGTTTCTTAAGAAACCATATACAGATAAAGTAAAAATAATATGTAATATCGACGTTGTTGATATCGACGTTGTTTTTCGAAATGAAATGTAAAAACAAAGCAATATTCTTATTATGTGCATATATAGATGTACATATTTTCAACCACAATGATATGTATTCATGATAAAGTCAATGAAAGGTATCCTATCCTATGGTATAAATGATTCTTAAGAGGTGTCTTTAACGCCTCATACATGTACTTGAAGTTCTTTAAAGGCCCCATGTAAAGTTTAAACCACTTTGGCTTATATTGTAGTCTTACCCAATGTTATCAAAGTGTGATATGTGAAACTTTTTTTTTTAATTTCAAAAAGTGGTTTTTGATAGACTTTTTGTTCCAAAATTTGTGAATTTATCTAAAACCAACTTTTAGAGGTCACTCATATCTTCTAATTAGCCACAATTCATACCAATGCATAGCATACATCCTCCCATGTTTTTTGCCGAAAAAATTAGGAAAATCGGTTGATAAACAAGCGAGAAATGAACTTATCAGTGTATGAAAATGGTTCTGAGAAAAATGCATTTCAAAATTTTAGTTCTTATACAATGATATCTAAAACATAATTTATTCTTCCTTTTAACATGGTTAGACGATCAACATTGTTTTTTTATGAAAGTCTAGCATATTAAGAAAAGATTGACATCGAAAAAAAAAATTCAAAAAGTTTTTGTTACCTTAGTGACATCACTAATGTTTCAAAATATTTTTGATAAGCTAAAACATTGAAGTGGCCCATTAAATATGACATTTTATTATTGAAATAGTGTCTTTTGTTCAATCTTTGCATTGGTGTTAAAAATATAATCTTTTTTGAAATGCATTAAGAAATATTTGATGATTAAGAAATTTCAACTTTTTTTGAAAAATGGCGGGAAATTTGAATATTTGAGAAATGAAATGCTCACAACTTTTTTTTCAAAAAAAATTTTTTGTTCAAATATCTCTAAAATCACTTTTTAAGTCCTGACAAATAGTAAATGAATGATAAAAAAATATTTTCAAACTTTAGACGGGGACTTTAAATTTATCTCACATTTTCTTTTCAATTTCATATTCAATGTTTTCCCATATGTTGCCATGTGTTACATGCTTCATCTCTAAGACTTATTAAGAGTCATGTAAGGATACTGCTGGGTTGAAATTGACAATATAATCAATTTTGCTGAATGTTGTTCAAGGCCAGAAAATCATTCATATGTTGGAAAATATAAACTGGCTAATCTGTTGGATTGGTCAGAATGTAATACAAGTGTACATTATGCCTACAGTAATGTGTGAATAATTCATCTTGTCACAATTGCAAATTGGGGTATACAGATGTGCCGTCCCCCATCCACAGTCAATCATAGATAACATAATCCCATAATATAATTTCGTTAATTCACTGCTGGGAAAATACTTGTCAAAAGGTGTCTCACTTTTTGGACACCCGATTAATAGCTCATAATAAAGCTAATTGGATTTTGGACTTATTGGCGAAATATTGGCAATTGCTCATTGCTCATGATTTGTGAACATGGTAGTCACCGTTTTCCTAATTTACTAGATTAATGGCCGCCATTTGTAATGCAGATAGTTGTATACTCCACTGTACAAACATTTAGAGCTTGAAGTATTTAATTAAGTTTTTCAAACAATAAGATATATCCTCAGCATCCATCATTCAAATGCTACAATCGGTACGATGATATAGATACTATTCTGAGCCTTGGTTATCATTTCTTTGAACGGGGCACACAGGTAAATGTTTAGAAAATGTGGCTGTTCGATTGTATTCCATAGATCAAACTGACACATTTTGTAGTGATATATAGCAAGTTCTAAAAGTTGCTGAGCTTATTCAAACCTTATTATTTCATGGGCTTTCAATAGAAGGCTAACTTCTATTGAATGCCAATGATTATTTGAAGCTCTTTGCTGACTGTTTCTTTCATTGTCTTTGCCTTGTGTGAAGAGGGTATAGGTACAACATGATTCAATGATTATGTGCGACATACACATGTACATTTCTCGTCTATCGTAAAACAAAGCATTGCTTCATGTGCTTAAATCCTTAACATTTGAGAATAAAGTTTCTCATAATGCACAGAAAATACGAATTACAAGATCGAGATGAATTATAATTCACATGATTTACCGCATGGGTTAATAACCTTTTCGTCTACTAATTATACGATAATCTGATCAAATGCGTCAATGGAGTTTATATAGAAAAAGAAAGAGTTTCGCGCATAATGGACGACAGTCGTGCTATATTTTCCTCAAGTAGCCTAAGTCAATAATTAAGATATCTAACTTTATTCTTGCTGCATAGATATTTCACCATTGTATCAGAAAGTGGTTACAATACCCCTGATAGCAAAATTGTGATCCGGTTTTATACCACTAAGAATAATTCCCTTTTAATGGGAAATGAAAGGTGGTAATAAAATTTATATAAATAACTCGGAATTGGAGCTAGTAATCCTGGAAGAACTTAAGTTTGATAACAGCGGGCCATAAAATGGGATACATTGCATCATTCAGTCTTAAATACATGAAAATCACAAGAGAAACCATGTGTAATATCCCAAATAATGGGAGAATAATGTATTGAAAAAGAAATTGATATTTTTATGAATGCTTGAGAAGCTATTTTCATATTTGATCTGTCTGCCTTTATCGGAAGCGCCAGTTCTCAATTTAGGGAAACCCCATAATTGTCTATGGCATTCTGAGACATTTTCAATCATTCATGGGTAATTCAGTCATACTGTTTTTCTGTAACATTTATGTTAATCAATGTTTATTCATAAGTCCTCTTATTTGGTCACACTTCTTATCAAACTTTCTCATACACAATGCATGTCAATATATCAAATTAAAGTAATAAGTAATACAGGGTTAAACTATTTTGGTTTATTATATCACTGTCATATTCTCCACTCTCTCGTTGGTCTATACATTACACGTGACATAAAAATAAGAAGACAATCCAATGGCCATGCCTGTGACATCAAAAAAGGCGTATTCAATGGGCGTATTCATCAGGTGTGGCGTTTCGTCCTGAGTAAATCTGAAAATGATACAAAAAATCGAACCATTCTTGTTCTTTTAAGACATTCCCAATAAGAGTAAAGTGGTGAATACTAAAAGTGAGTAATGAAACTAATACATGTATCTCATGCAATTTTCGGCGAATACCTTTAATGACTTTTAATGATCCCGCAAGGTGTATTCCTTTGGTTCGTCTGGCTTCGGGGAATGCACCTTGCTATTGAAACAGGAACAGGTATTCACCTCAATGGAGTACTAAATATTTGTATTTTATCCCCAAAGCATTATTTTTCTATTTCCAGAGCTTTATTTTCCATGTCGAGGCTCACCCAGAATTTCCCGACTACACCCAATGTGTTACGTTCAACTTTTTCCCCAGTGAGAAGCACGAACTCGCCTACAACCTATTTGTGCTGATAGCTATATATGTTCTACCCCTGATCGTCATCACTTTTGCGTACTCTATGATACTCTTCGAGATCACGAAGAAATCTCGAGAAAGTCAAGGTAGGTAACTGGAGCCACTACTGGACAACCAGTGTTTAAATTATTTTGGACAAGCAGATTAATTCTAAAAAACGGTGTTACTTCCGATCCAGCTTCCAATGTACAGATGTTGATTTGATTTTCTTATTGCAAAAACACATTCACAACCTAATCAATATATTTTTATTGCAGAATAAATTCCATGGAATGCGTCAGATATGAAATTAAACCATTAGTGATATATCATAACCATGATTACGAAAGCTATACGTAATACTTTCTTTATCAGTGGTTTTTGTATGAGGCCTTGTTTAGTAATACCCTTCAGGACGATGTGCTCATTTTGGCACCATTATCTTTATATATATTTATATACATCATTGAAATGACAATATCTCCAGTTCTATTCAATATTTTTACACCAAATTTACAAGTTGTTATAATGTGTGATAAAGATTGCATTTCAGAGATAAAATTTAATGGTATTGGTCCCAGGGTGTAGGTTATTTGCTCTCGGGCAATTTGCAACTCGAGGACTAATAAGGTTGCTGTAGAAAAATGATTCGTTCAGACAATGACAGATTGTTTACTTTTGTGTAAGCCAGTAGCATTTACATGTTTTACTGCCAATAATCTCTCCAGCAAAGCCAATGGAAAAATAATGCATTGTCTCTTTTCAAAGATTTTGACAGGACCATTACTTTGGTTTATTTTCTCGTAATGTTAACAGGCGTCTCAGCAAAGATCACTGGTGGATATCAAGTGAAGGTAACTGCCGTCACCTTCGCATTCAAGATGGCGGACGAAAATTGTCGATTTCGAACATTTTAGTTTTCATCAAATTAAACCACTTTATATTTGACATAATGCTTTGATCCAAATTAGGCTTATATGATATGGAAACTCTGGAGTATGAGCAATTGTTCATATGTCGTGCGCGGGTGCCACATTTCAACGATATCTTCCATCGCTTGAGGGAAGGTTACTGGAAATGTATGATACGGTAACGGTCGCGTTTGTCGGTTATTGGTTAAATACTGCACTACAGTTATATGAAATACTGTGTTCGAATTGGTTGGAATCAGCCACACCTTGCACCTTTGCCTTGCTATGTGGGATTAAATAGTAATGTCGATGAGTAATTGATCTTGGGAATCAAGATAATGTGAACCACCACAATTGTTATAAAGCATGTTTTTTTATCAGAACTAGGACATCTTAGCTCTCCATTATAAACTCTCATAACGTTGCCGCATCACCACAAATCAGTAACCGTATCATCTGAACAACCAAAATACCATTTACCTTCCTTAAGCGGTGGAAGATATCGGTGAAATGTGGCACCCACGCACGACATATGAACAATTGACGGCAAGTTACCTTCGCTTGATATCCACCAGTGAAAGATAACAGATAACACGAAAGATTTGGTACCAAAATGTTTATCAGTATAAAAACACAAAAGTCCAATAGTATACACCATGTCAAATATTATATTTAATATTTATGGTTTCAGAAGCTAAATATCTTTTCACACTTGGCGAGGAAATATTTTTGACAAAGCATCGGAATTATGTTCTGCAAGGGAGAGAGAACTGAGTATTTCTGTTCTATTGCAAAACCCAATTGGCTTTTATTTCTATTAATACAAAGCCCGGATACAAAGTTTGATAAATTATCAACTCGATAAATTTCTGTCAGAACTATTTCTCCTGGCCTTATGCTATTGAAATTGAAAAATATAGTACACAATAATCAAATCAGTACTCAATATGTCACACTTCTATTTAATGAACATAAACGTATCCATGTACCTTTGGATAGATGTTCCTGACTTATAGATACATGTACGTCTCTAGTATTGTACAATACTTACAAATCACGTGTAGTAGGCAAATTCTTTATGTGCCCTTGACATTTATCCTCATATTCAATTAACTGGAGGCTTTTTAAATAATGAAACAGTATGGGGATTTCATTCTTCATGCTATGTTCCCATAGAGCTGATCTAATCAGCGATCCCTCTATTTGCATTATAACATATTTTCCCAGACGTGTTGCAATGTAATGGATGGGATAAGTTATTATACTTTTCTTGGTATATTTCGTTTGTTAAATATAGAATGCTATGAGTTTCGAATGCTATCCATATGTAGTATTAGAGAGGTCTCGCACAATGGGTTATAGCTGAAACGTATTTACAACCGCATCTCGTTTTAATTGTCGTATTCTTAGTTCCCTCTTCAAAAGGAAGATTTTCCTTATAAGGTCAAAATATTTCCAATGGTGCAGTTCGCGGAGGAACAAATTCTTACTTCCTTGTTTTCCCCATGGGGATTTTCACACCTATTTTTTCAATCGATATCTTCGTCCATATTCCCGTACGGAAGTACAGAGAAACGATTGATCTTCTATTAATCTTAATATAACAGATATTTTTTTCATTGTTTTGATTCATAGCGTGGTAAAGAAAGATGATCGAAAAGTGAGAAAATATTCCAGAAGAAAAGGTCAGGTGATCAGTTGACTAGTCGTCATATTGGAAAAAATGATTTCATTTGAATTTCAACACTTTCATTCCAATCTTACCGCACTACAAACTGCAACATCGAAGCAACAACAGAATAAAAGTACTCACCTGACCTTCAATATGCAATATAGAGTTACGTTGAAAACCCACAAACAACTGAGCAGTTGACCAAAGAAGACGCGTCGCTATTATCTAGGTCAGTCGGTTCAGTGTTCGAAAGAAAATCTATAATTTTATTGTTCATTGTAAAAGCTTTTCTTGATTATACTCGGTATACTGACCATTAAAGCAATGACAAAGAACAATACTTCTGACAGTGTCATTGATTTATTTAGCGTGCGGGTGTAAAAACAAAATTGCGTAATTAGTTTGATTTAGAACTTTCGGGTCACGTAAATAGTTACGCAAAATGTATCGTTTGAAAATATTGACCAATCAAATATTGGCCTTTTGAAAGCTTTTTAAGTACACATTTTCGTACCTTCTCGATTAAAGAGCGAACCACGAAAGGCTTTTATTGAACTGCTACATGTACGAATAAACTACTGAATGCGTTACGACGGTGAGCTAAAAACGATACATGCGAAACCTCTTAATGTCATCTTTTATTGCTCCAATCGCTTATAGTTATATTAGTTGCTTGCTTTTGATGTTTCAGAAGAGACTTGTAGCTTGGCTCAAAAAACTGAAACTCGGCTGAGAAGATCGGGTATTGGAAACATAGAGAGGGCCAGGATAAGAACCCTCAAAATGACCGTTATGATAGGTGAGTGTAAATATGAAAGTTAATATATGTTTCACATAATAATTGAAGACTATCTAGTATATATGATGCAAGCAAACTGTTTCGCATGAGAAATTATATGAAACTGTCGCATTTATCATTTAGTGAAAAATCTAAGTATTTTTCAGTTCTGGTATTCCTTGTGTGCTGGACTCCTTACTTCGTCATGAGCTGCCTTTGGTGGTTTGATTCGTAAGTATACCGTCTGTATTAGCACATACTAGTATTATATGATCTTATATCATTATAACATTGATAATTGATTATAGTAGGATCGTGTAGATGAAGCTCTCTTTAAAAAAAAAATTAGACTATTGAAAAGGGCTCACACGCCAGGACGAATAGCAAATAATCGAAAATTGAATTTCTGATAGAAAATGACATTAAATACCAATGATTCCATGTCCATTTATTTTGAATATGTACACTGAAACGAAATAAGAATAGAATGTCAATAGCTGCAATAAATGCTCCATACCTCTTTACTCCTGCAAAAATGCCCCCTACTTCTTTTCCTACCCCTTACTCCATACACAATAAATTCCCAAATGCTCCCTCCCTCTTTACTTCAGCTGAACTATATGATCCCTACCTCTTTACTCCCACTACAATAAATGCTCCCTACATCTTTATTCCAGCTGCAATACATGCTCCCTCCCTTTTTAATCAAACTGCAATAGATGCTCCCTCCCTCTTTACTTCACCTGAACTATATGCTCCCTACCTCTTTACTCCATGGGCTTTCAATTAGAGTTGAAAGCCCATGTTTACTCCAACTGCAATAAATGTTCCCTTCCTCTTTATTCCAACTGCAATATATGCTCTCTCCTCACTTCAGCTGAAATATATGCTCCCTACCTCTTTTCTCTCTTTTCTCCAACTGCTATACGCTCCCTCCATCTTTTCTCCAACTGCAATATATGCTCTCTCTCTCTCTCTCTCTCTTTACTTCAGGAGAAATATATGCTCCCTCGCTGTTTAATCCAATTGTAATAAAAACACCCTCTCCCCCCTCTTTTCTTCAACTGCAATATATGCTCCCCCTCTTTTCTCCAATTGTAATATACTGTATGCTCCCTCCTTTTTTACTTCAGCTGAAATATAGATCTATGCTCCCTACCTCTTTCCACCAACTGTAATAAATGCTCCCTCCCTCTTTTCTCCAATTGCGATATATGCTCCCTCCCTCTTTACTCCAGCTGCAATTCATGATCCCTCCCTCTATACCATAGTTGCAATAAATGCACCCAGCCCAACTTAGGTTTATATAACACAATAATGAAAACTAATTATATAATATGTGGGAATTTTCATTCATTTTCTATATAAGTGGTAATGTTCTATTATCGTGTCATTATAAATACCTCTCTCTAATATCATCATAAAAATGACAGTGCAAGACAAAATGTATTTTAACTTCTGTGGAACTGTGTTTACAAATACACCATTAAATTTCCTCTACCCATTTTCCTATTTTGTAACATGATACATTAATGTAACCAGCTCCATGGCCATTTTAACTTTATTATGACAATTGCTGTCTGCCAAAATTACAATAATGTCGATGATTAGAATATAGAATTGAGCATGAGCTGGTTCGAAATTATGTATTACTTTCGGAGAAAAATATACGTCCCTTAGTAATCTCAGTTGTTTATTCGTGTTAATCGTTTCACTTTATTGTTAAATCTAGAAAATATCAGGAATCGCCGTTATTAAAGTCACAACAACAGTTGTACAAATGGATGGAAGTAAGTCCATTCTTATAACATATCATAAAATATGTATATATGAATTTGTATTTTCAGTGAAAACGCCAGGAAGGTCGACCCAAAAATACAAAGAGGACTTTTCATATTTGCAGTTTCCAACTCCTGTATGGACCCAATCGTATATGGTGAGTCTTTGTTCATATGGCTGATATGCACAATACTGTCAAACTGTACAGTATCTTCTTCCAACGACTTATTACATGAATTGAGAAATAAAAATGAGGTTTGGAGCTTTAGAGAGTCAAAGAAGACGCTTAATCCATGTAAAGTATATTTGAATTATTAGAGAGTTTTCGCAACTCACTTATAGCATGTTTATTATTCCCGTATAACATATAACAACTTATGAAGCTATTGATTACGTCATCATTTATCGCGCAGCTCTATACGCCCATAAGTGTGATATTCTTATTTATCCCACGATTAATGTGTTATCTGTACAATAACAGCTACTGATATTTCTGATATTATTTAAATCCGTGTGATATTTTCAAGAAAATCGTTTATCAAACTCATATGCGTGTGATATCGTTTATCTCACGCATATCCGTGTGATATCACATTTGCATTTCGCGCCACAATATTGTTGGAAATTAGGTCAGATAATTTATTCTCTTTTGAGAAAATAGGTCAATTTTATTATTATTTTTTATTATCATTTTATTATGCAATCAACATTTCTGGGGGTACTTTTAATAATTATGGTCCCACCAGTTCAATTACATCCACATAATAAGACCTCTCGCAGAGGGAGGTTAGTAGTGAGCAGTGACTCGTCACAGTCACAATAGTCACAATAATATTAACTGTCATAAAGCTGACATAAAACTGACAAAAAAACAATGTTCATTTTATTTACTTTTAATTGTTAAAATAAAGTGTTTCAAATATTCAATTGATATTCTAATTTCTAGTTTATATTGTCGACCGATGTCCTGGAAATTGGATCAGAACTTCACAAGGTGATTGTCATCATGGGATAAACCCAATATCACATAATTTCTCGTGATATCATTTTATCGCCTCGTAGATATCAAATATCAAATATTGATATTTGATATCAACTCGGCGATAAAAATGATATCACTCAAAATGATGTGATATTCTGTATAAATCGTCGTCTATAAGTAAGATTATTACACTTAAGTATAGAACAGCGCAATAAATGATGACGTAATCAAACGCTTCATAAGTTTTACGTTCTATGGGTATACTTAACATGCTTAATTTAAGTGAGTTGCGAAATCTCTCTACCATTTTACTTATTCATACCTAGACTTACTGAACACCACATTTATCTAGAATAGCTACAAAGACTAAAAACAAGATGAGAGTGCTTCAAAAAGTTACCACATTTACCATAAGTTACCATTATTTTTGTATGTCAGCACTGTCTGCCAAACGCTCCAATTATATGAGACTTTTTCATGTGACCGTTACGCGGTTGTGTCTGTCAGATCACTTTCATTTGTGTTGATTCTTATATCAAGGTGTATATTTACAACATTTTCTCCGTATACCTTTGCTCCATTAGATTGCACAGCTGATTTAACTTCGTTTGTTAGTAACAATCTTATCCATGTAGCTATAGCTGATAGCTGATGTGTGTTTGCACTGCGTATAATCAACACATTATAATCTTCATGGCGTTACAAGTCCTTCAAACGTGAAATGTTGAGTCTAATGCTAGTTAATCATGAAAATTTGCAAAGATTGATATTTTATATGACTCATTTTTGATTCTACAGGGTGTCTCAATAAAAATGTTACAAGTACAAAATGGTCAATATCTTTTATAATCTGGCATTTACCCTGAAATGCAAATTGAATTCTTAAAAAGCAAGCTTTCTAGATTAATTTGACACCAAGCAGATTTAAATCCTTCCATGGTTGACTACACAGGACATATTTCATTGACTCATGTGAAATCTGACTTGCGCCAACTTCTCAGTGGTAAAAAAGAACAAAGGCAAAGAAAGCATTCCTTTAACATTCAATCTTATTCACAGTTGGAAATTGACATTTTACTGATTCATTTCTGTAATTTTTCTATCTGTCTTTGTACTAACATGGCCGCCGTGTTGTGAAGACCTTGGTATTTATGTGGCCCCACGAGAGGGAATTTAGGGGTGTTTAAGTCCTGTAACGCTGGAGGCCACTCGACTGGGTTAATCAATGCCATGATCCAATAATTTGCAGAGTTCTGTCACAACCCTTTACCTGTAAGGAAGTGTGCCACACTGTTGTCACTACACAAAAATTACCATTCTGCTGGCGTTGGAATCTTTGAATGTCTTCCGGTAAAGGCATGACATGGTTAAACCGCTGAGAAGTTGGCGCAAGTCAGATTTCACATAAATTAATAAAATCTCTCCTGTGCAGTGAACCATGGAAGGATTTCAAAACTGCTTGTGTCAAATTAATCAATAGAGCTTGTTTTTCAAGAACTCAAGTATATTTTAGGGTAAACGCCAAAATTATTAAAAATATTGACTTGTAACATTTTTATTGAGCCACACTGTATAGCATCTCGCTGATTAACTCAACTAATTCTTCATCTCTAACCATAGACTAATCTTCCATCCTCTCTTTAGTACTACTTTTCCCCTCCATCCCTCTGACAGTGTCCCCCTTATCTTCCCTAGCTCTGCCCCCCCCCCACCTACCGGTAACTCTACCCCATTCATCATATATCTAGCTATGACCCATGTCTCGCCCTTAGCCCTGTCACCTCCCTTATTTCCTTTGATTCGATTCTATTCTCCAATCGCCATCTAATATGTCCATTGCTTAATGAACGAACTCAGTTTATTTAGGCTTTGGGGTCTTCATGATCAGAAGTAACTGTCGAGCTGAAATCGCTTGCAACGTGTGCAAATATGTATGTGATCGCCCCGCTATCCATTTATCCGCTAGGTTTTCGCCATTGCTAATAGATGTCGCTTGGTACTTGCAGGGATGTGCACTAATGCATTCAGAGATACCGTGACGAATTGGTTTCGTAGGTTGTCGTTCAAGCGTAAAGGGCGGGAATCTGACACATCTAGCACCCCTGAACTTATCCGTGCTATTGAGATGTTAAGACAGTGGCCCTCATCCGAGGCTGTATAATTATCTGAGCACGTACTGGGAAAAACCCGTCCCAAAGCTACATGTAGATCCGTCCTGTTTGTGTTACCCGCTGTCTTTCCCCATTGACCATTCTGCTCTGGTACTTGCAGGCTTTTATATGATCGACTTTAAGAGGGAGTTTAGACGATGCTGTTGCTGTCTCCGTAGTAACTACCAAGACGCCGTGATCTATGGGAATGCACGAACTTACACGAAAACACCAATTCCTCTAGTTTTGAATGATTTGAGTGATGTGGGTCGTTATGGCAGCGGAGATGGGTCTCAAATAAACAATTCGAATGACCCTCTAATTCAGCGCTCGAATGGATCTCTTTGGTGCAAACAAGACTGCATGGATAATCATCGACTGTCACATTCGGAATTCATGAACTCCTTGGGTTCGCATATAGAGCAATCCCCGTATAAAATCCATTACAAGAGTGGGCGATGTAATAATAATTCGTCGATAAGTTCCTCTAGCACACATGACATTAGTGTTGACGATGCTGATTTTAGCTCAACCCACTGTCGCCCGAGTGCTAGGCGCAAGGGGTTCAATGATTTTGTCTAGGAGGCTCTGATGTCGCTTTGATTGGCGTTACCGTCACGTGTAAGATACTTTCCTAAATGAGCTCAACGTCATAATAGCTAGATATCATCATGTCTAGTATAGAGACATATTTAAATGTACTTAGTATGTCTCTGTCTTGCCACAATATAGAATGGCGTGTACCTCAAATATGTAAGATTGCTCAGAGATTTATTATCTGGAACATTATCAGTATTTTATCTATTGATATTGGAATGAATGGTCAGGTGCATATCAAAAATATATTGATGACTGCTAAAAATCAAAATCAAAATGAATACTAGTTCATGGACGATACCGAACTCCGTGGCAGTACTAGTCTTTAACTATCAGTGTCTACTCCGAGACACTGCATGGGAGTTTGGGACGATACCGGTGCCTACCTAAATTTTTTACGGATAGATTATGGGTACCAGGTATCTGATGAAGGCATACCTTGAAGCTCTGATGTTTGTGACATGAAGGCAACAATAATTTTGGTGCAGTAACTGCATCAACCAGCCTTTGGTGTAGCATATGGCGCGTCTCTTTATCTTGTCTAAATCATCTATTGCATTACCTTATTTTTGCGAAGAGAAATTGATTCCTTTTTAGATCCCTCGATAGTTCGTTCAGTGCGTTCAAAGCGATTACCAAGTAATGGTTGGCGTCTGAGCCCCGGGAATACGTTATAGCATGTTTAAAAAACCTAATGAACTGAGTAAGTTGATAGTGCGTAGAGTATGTATAAAAATGCGTATAGACTGAGATATGTTGTTTCCTTGGCTTTGTATAAAAAACCTCCTACCTCATACCCACCTACCCACGTACGTGGGGCATGATAGAGTCTTTGAAGGGTTCAATTTTAAAGATCTTAGTCAAGTTATTAAATCTTAGTTTATTTATGATGAATTATAGATGCATTTGTAACGACCCTTGGTAGCAAGCTGCTACTACATCCCAGCTGGGTTCGATTCCCACTCGGGGCATCGAATTTAGCACACTTTATTTCAATTTCTTTATCTGGCTTGTTGGACCTATGCTCGCGGTCGTTAGTCATTTATTCCCCTTGGGCGCCCTCGGGTCATTACACATTAAAATGCATACATCACGCCCGGTGATCGTACAAAATGGATGGAGGGGGGGGGGTTAGGCGATTTCTGAGTGAGCAATGTCATAAGTGTTGAGATAATAACGTCCCTTATACCTATTTATTACAGGTCGTGTAGACCATTGTTGCCTGATTTACAGCAAAAACATTGACTTTTGCACGTTGGCGATGATGCGCCTCTTTTAATAGATCTCATATCTTAGAAGCGTATCAGTTCAAAAAGATACTAGAAGACCTAACATATTATGCCATTGCGCCTATTCATTTGGAAATTCAGTTGTAAATTTTCTCCTGAAAAAATAAATCTACCAAATTTGTTGAGTTTTCTTGTAGAAATCGCCTACTCCCCCTCCATCCATTTTGAACGATCACCGGGCGTGTACATATGCCTTTATTTATGGATCTGTCATCTGTCTAGTCATAAAATAAAGCCGGAATTGTAGAAATGTTAATAATTTGAGCTATTTTGAGATTTAATAATCTTTAAAATTGAACCCTTCAATGACTGTATCATGTTCCACGTAGGTGGGTAGGTGGGTATACGCATGCATCAGACTGTGTTACTGTATTCCCGGGCCTCAGGTTGGCGTTATTGTCTGACAACGTAACTGGCTATAAATTCATGAACGCAATCCAAAAGAGTTGGACTGATTAATCACTTCTAAGATGGTTTGAAAGATTTTATCTGGCCGAAACCGTCACATAGAACTTCACAGTGAAAACTTGAAGCGGTTTAGTTTTGAATTATGTAATCACACACACGGTAATGAGTCTAATGACCATGATTCTCTGACGTCAGAAAATCGTCAGGGAATGCTAAGATCAATCTTATTTGTTATTACTGCAATCAATCGTAAGAAAGCATGATAATCATTGGACAATAGAAAACACACACAAAAACATCCCTTTTCTGGGACTCTTTTTATTGAAATAATACAGTTGCATGCAAAGTTTGAGCTCTTGGGCATTTATGATTAAATCAAGTTGGAGCATTACTGTATACGAGTATAATGAACGCAAAGTAGGGTGATATCTTATGTATGAATATCATGAACATTTTATTGTATCTAAATTCTATTGTCAGCATTGATTTTATTTCTCCTAGTCTAGCTACAAGCCATTGTCACATCACTTGTTAGAGTAGATACTCCAGGGTCTTGAAGCAAGACTAGATTACTTCATGTAACCTGGCCACACTTACACGCGGTCCTAACTTCGACCGTTAATTTGAATTTTTGACCTACCGGATGTTTGAAAATCAAGGATTATGAGTCTCATACTGCACCGTTTTTCTTCAAACTTGTTCCATTCAAAGCATAACAAAATTCCCTTTCTGATGGCACATTATTCTCTTAATAAGAGACCCTACTTCCAACGGCATTTTGGTCCCCAGCTGTAAGAAGGCCTTCCGACAGCTGGGGACCAAAACGCTGCGTGAACGAGGGACTCTTTACAATCAAATAATGCTTCGACAGAAAGGCAATTTTGTTTTGCTTTTAATGGTATAAGTTTGAAGAAAAACGGTGCAGTATGAGACTCGCAATCCTTGATTTTCAAGCACCTGGTAGGTCAAAAATTCAAATTAACGGTCGAAGTTAGTACCGCGTGACTTAAACAGTGTCGGATCTGTATTCACTCTAGATTGTTCCCGTCAAATAGTGCGGGCCAATATCGTCAGCCTAAGCCACCGTGTAAGCGCTCTATCCGATTGTCTGTCTGTATGTTCACACTATCTTCTGTAGATTTAAGCTGTTACTCCAAAGCAAGTTTAGATATCACCTCTATCTTCCCAATTTATTTCTCTACTTGTATCTGCTATTTTGGAACGAAAAAATCTTTGTCTTTGAAATTTTAAAAAACTGTTAAAAGACTCGATTTCAGATTCTAACTTCATCCAGCTAGATTCTGATTTTGCAAATTCTAGGTCAATTTTGAATTGGCCATTTTCGATCCATCTTTAACCCTGCCCGTACAATGACGCTGAAATGGCTTTTTAACTGGAGTTTCGAATAATTGTTTTCAGATTACCGCGTGCACCTTATCATTAGCATGCGAATCAGTGAGGAAATTATTAAGATTCTCACCATGCGGTTTTGTGCTAACGTCCTCACCCAAACGGTTTGAAGGATTGATCTTCCCACATCCTTTCTTGTTTACGCAATTACAGTGACATCGGTTGAAATGTAAGGTTAGAGGGCTTCACATTAAGTAAATGTAGATTTGATGAGTTTTTTGGCATTCAGATTGAAAAATCCAGATCATCCAGTAGGAGGAGACAGGTTGTTCACGTGTTTATCCTCTTTACTTCTAATATACAATTTTGGTCAATTAAGAAGGATATAAAACAATATAAATGTTTATCCTATACTTAGTAGTGTTATAGGTTTATAACATGCGAAAAATGATTGAAATCTGAGGTGAGTGGGAGATATATATAACTCTCGGAAAATACAATCTATCTACCCTCTATCCCTACAGTCCCTCGAGTAGATAAATTGTATTTCCCTTAGGATATACCCTGTATCCAAAACCTCCCATTAAATAACACTCATATACTTGAAATATGAACCATATTGGACTCAACCGTACGCTGCGCATGAACATGATGCAAATTAACTTAATATCATATCATTTTGCACATTCGCAAGTGCAGATTTATGAAGACAGTCCGGATATGTTTCATTAATGAATATGAGGTAGAAAATGTTTGCTTTTATCATTTACAGGGACAGATAGAAATTACTCATTTGACACTACTTATTGGATCGTTCGCTTGGATTACTAACTTATTTGATCAGATAGGCTGTATCTCAGATCCCATTTCAGATACTACATGGCAAGGGATACATTTTAATTTGTTCATTTAAAACTTGTCTTTGCCAACATTTCACTCACTCTGGCCTGAAATATATCACAAAAATGAAGTTATCTAAAAAGAAAAATGGCGGCAAATAGGATCATATTATTTTGATTGTTTCAAGTGTAAAAGGGTAGGTGGTCCTATCAAATGTTGGTCCTACTCTCTATTGATTTATATGGCGACCTAATCACAATTATTTTCCTTATTATTTATACACAGTCAGGGCCAGTAAGGGCCGTAAGGAAAGGGGACCATAATCCCCAAGGGACCATAATTTCTTTCACACCGGGACTATAACACACATATGACAATGCAGTTTCAGTTACTGTCATAATTGTATGCTTTTACTGTACAGAATATATGTTTATTTATTCATAAAATGATGTACCTATTTGTCTGTTTCGTTGTTTCACTCTTGCAATAATTGCGAGTAGGTAGTTACCTTAAGGTGCTAATGGTACATATCGAGAAAAATACAATGAGAATAAACAATAACCCACATATAGGGCGGTGTTAATTAAAAAATAAGGAAAAAAATAATTTCTGTTTGCAGACGTACATTGTCATTGTTAATTACTTACATATTTTATCTAGACATAACAACAACATTAAAATGAAACATTAAAACCAAAAAGAAATCCTCCTGATTACTCCTCAGTGTTGAATTATTGTTGATTTGTGGACCGTGATGACGGTTTTGCGAAAAATGCTAAGACTGACACTCACACCGGTGTAAAAGGGTAGGAGGCGAGGTACTATCAAATTAAGGTCCTACTTTCCATTGATTTATATGGTGACCTAAATACAACTCTTTCCCTTATTATTGTATCCACAATCGGGGCCAGTAAGGGCCTTTAAGAAAGGGGACCATAACCCCAAGGGGACCATAATTTCTTTTACACCGGAATAGCCTGACTACGGTAAAGCCAGATCCGCCATTTGTGACAACGGTATCTGACTTTACCGTAGTCAGGCTATTCCGGGGTGACACTGACACCCTTATGGATTTTTGGACTGAAATTTGTTCAACAACGTTAGAAACTGAATTAGTTATTTTCTACATGGTGGGCCAAAAATGAGCTTGTTTAATTAAGATACATTGTGCGTTACCGCCTAAACAGCTTTTGAAATAACGGAATTTTAATTTCAATATCATTCCTAGAAAAAGGACAAATGGAAAAATTTATTGAAAAGCGATCTATTTTTCCTTTTTATGACCGCCATTTTTGTTTCAGACTATTTTCTAAAATTGCAAAGATTGTATCAGCAAAGATTGTATAATGTTTAGGATCATTCCGACCATGTTCATGTACATTGTGATCCTGGTCATGTGAATGATATGTGGAACTAGTTAAACTGACTGGAAGTCAAAACAGGATGGATGGATTTACACTCACTTGTGTTTGAACGTAAG